CCGCTCTTTGTTAGGGATTTCTATCTCCCTTGCTCAATATTTATCTAGTCTCTCCCCCATTACCTCCCCTTTCATCTCCATTGTATAACCCATCTCAGAGATGTCACTCACTATTGCGAAGGAGTTGGAAACATTACTCCAGATGAGAGATATATTGGAACGCTCCAAAGCTTTTCATCATGTCGTGACATACACCCCATAATACACTCAATGAGATCTTTGAAAACTTTGTTCATGAAGGTGTTGGAAGGTTGATTCGGCATTCTTTAACTCAAATTGCATGACTTTATAGCAGCACAAACTTTTAACTTTATAGCATCACAAACTTTTATCTGTTTGGAAAAAGATTGAATCCTCATCTTCAAGGTCCATCTTTATTTTGTTGTACCCCGAGCATGCCTTAAAAAAGCTAAGCATCTGGTTCCCATACATGGTATCAACAAGTTGAGATCGATATAGTTAGTAAACATCCTTCAGCTCCATTAGTTTTTTTTTTCTAAATGACAACTTGAGCCAACCACGCAGGGTTGTGTACTTCTTGCATGAATCTCGCTTCTAGAAGCTTATTGATTTTTTGTTAGATGGTTTGCAAGTAGTCTAAAGCAAAATTTAACTTTTTCTGGATGATTGGCTTAAAGCTTGGATCCACCTTTAAGGAATGCATGATTATTCAAGGGTCAAATCCAAGCAAATCAGTTGGGATCCGGGAAAAGATGTACAGGTTCCTTTGGAGAAGATTTATGTGCTTTATTCTTTGCTCATTGAAGTGCATTGAATTGAGTTGCACCATTCGCGAGGCATGCTCACTCGAGAGTGGAACGTGGATTAGGTTTTCCATGAAGAAGCTCTAGAGATTTGTCTTCATTTAGGAGAGTAAATTTTTTGATGTTAAGTGTCAATGATGGGCACAGTTAGACTTGCCCGAGGCAACATGATTGTGTTATCTATTGATCCCCACGAACAACACCAATCTTGTCCATGGTTGAGAACTTCAGATTGAGATGTGGCATGTATGTGGCAATGTCAAAATTGGATTAGATGGGTCTTTCAAAGATGGCATCGTTAGGTGATTCTGATTTGATAACAATGAATTAAACACAGTGAGTCATCTTTTTAGGAAATTCTCTCATTATGATAGAAAGATTGATCGTTCTTTCGACTCTCGCATGTCAATTATTAAACCCACATAATGGCCCGAATGCTAGCTGAAGTTTATTCGTAGGCAGCCCAAACCGTGTAGGGTTGAGCAGAACAAGTTGTTAATAAATTTGTCATTGTCAATCATAATTCTCTTCACTTTCTAATAATGTTCACCCATTTCTGAGTTGATTACGAAAGGGTATTGGTGAGGGACATAGATTACATCTTGGTTGGAATCATCAAAAGTGATGAGCTCGATACACAACTTCTTTTGCATTTGTTTTCAAGTTTGGTGATGAGGGCCTGGTTAAATAGTAATGGATCTTTAGTAATCAATCAAATTTAATTAACTATTTGGTGCCCTCCATGCTACTGCTTTTGTGTTTGTTGCTTCTCAATGGGAGCATTGTTCATTCGAGTGGGTTTATTTTGGACAAATCTACCCAAATGCCTCTGTCAAAACAGCCCTTCAATATCTTCCTTGAGCTTATTACACATCTCAGTGGTATGATCATGACTTTTGTTGAAGTGAAAATATTGATAATGATTCCTTAAGCTTAATTTCAAAGGGTAAAGCCACTTAATGGTCTCTTCGTCCCTAGTTGTCATCAGAATGTTGACACGTGATGTGTTGAGTAGTGTATACTCTTTTTTATAGTCAAGGTTACCACCTCTGTTTTGCATGTCAAGGAGGGAGATCATGGCTCCCTTGTGGCTCAAACTACCTTTATTGTGAGGTGTGAATAGCATCCCCGAGGTTTTTATTACGCTTGCCCCCGAATTGCTTGAATTGCCATTTTTGCATTGATGATTTCATTTGTAGTGGCTTGTGCTTCAACTCGGTGAACAAGGTCCTTGTAAGAGCGAATGGCCTCCCGCATCAATGATGAGTGGAAAGTCCTCAGACAAAGCACTTCAAGAAAAGGCTCTCGTAAGTAATTCAAGGTCTACCCCCGAAATCTTACAAGCTTTAGTGAAAAATCTTCGTAATTACTCCTCGAGTGACTCTCTCTCATTATGTTAAATTCCTAAAAGATAAAACAAGTTTTTGATAATCTTTTTATTTGTTATAAATTGCTCCACAAAAAGTATGACGAGTTCATTAAAGCTGTGGAGTGTCCCTCCCGGGAGGGAGTAGGACCATATGTGAGTCTGGCCCTTGAGAATGAAAAGAAACACTTTACAAGAAAACACATCAGAAGGTTCTTATAAGTTAATGATGGTTTGATAATGATACCTCATCATACGAGTTAATATTTAGAGGTTTAGAGATCGTTGGGATGGTTTGTTGAAGGATAGGCTCAACCAAAGGCAAAGACTCTTAAGAATTTGGATGAGCGAGAAAATGATACTTATCCTCCAAAGAGAAATTTTCTCAAACCAAACATCATTACTCGACAATGATTACATTATCAGGAACACTAATAAAAGGTGGTTGGGCAAAGTGAAATGCATTGGATGGATGAGTGGGACTCAAAGTATTGAAGAGATTAGCATCTTAGCCCGACTGAGGAAGAGTCTCGTCACCACGGAGAGGGGACCCGATACGAGTGTATTCAACTGAGGCATTTCTCTTTGTTTGTTGACCTTCTGATATGTATGCTTCATCGAGTTGTGTAAACAGTAGCTCCTGAACCTCTCTTAAAAGCTGGATAATCTCAAGTTGACACTCATCCATTTTGCACACCATGTCTTCCAAGGATGAGTTTGAGGTTCCATCGCCAGCAGAATAAGGCCTCTCGTGAAGAGAAGTAGAGAATTGACTTTCTTTGCTCTGCTACTGTCCCATGGAATGGTGGACGTTGGAACGAGATGTTTCATTGTTAGCAGTATTGCATTTGTTGCCCATTTTACTGGCTTTATATGTTCTTTGATGGTGTGATCATCCTTATCACAGAATGTGTCAAACTGTTGCATGTCAAAAAAATCATTGTGTTATAATGATTATTTAGCATCTTAGTATTGTACCAAAATCTGACACACACATAAATAAGGGAAATAAGAAGTGAAGACACTAGAGATTTTAACATGGAAGCCCATAAAAGGAAATAAAGAATATGAGGTATAATAAAGTCAGAATGATCCCTTATATGCTTATGAGAACAAGTATAAAACCTTGTCCAATTGACAAAAAATGGTTACAAAGTCCCTCCATGTACAATGTTTGTTCGTAGAAGAGTTCGTTGTATAATGGTCTGTAGCGATTGTAATCAAGTGATGTCGGAACTTTGGCACATCATTGCACATTATTTACTAAAATACATTACTTTGTAGTGTATTTCGTTTCTCTGTAACGTATGTCGTTATTCCACCATGATCTTCATCGTAAATTATGTCGTTACTCCTCTTGAAATGGGTCCACTAATGGCGTCGAACAGGGCTGCTGACGATGGTTGACGGCAGCCGACAAACAGTGGTCAATGTTGGTCAATAACATTGGGATTGTTCGTTAGGCTTTTTTAATCCATGACGGCTCTCAGATTCCACTCCCTCTACTCCAAATCCATGTCTCCCTCTAGCTCTTGGACTTCATCCCATTTCTTAAAGGGAGCGAGATTGAAAGTGGCATTCTTATCAATAAGGCATGGATCTAGGTTTTTCCATCGAACGACTCAAAAAGAGACTTGAGTCTCTTGATTGGATTGTTTTATGAACATTAAAGTATCTTAATAATATTGGCATTGAGTGATATTGCACTCGTTGGATTCGTTCAATCGAAACGCTTGATTTGACTATAAGCTTGTCAAATTTGAAATTCATTTGACCTTCCAATTAACTCCTAAAAGCTTCCAAAAATGGTTTTAACAGCTTGATCTGAGATTGATTAACTCAGATTGAGCCAATTTTGTTGCCATTGAGTCCATCTCGTCAGGTCGATCAATTTGATTATATGTTTGTTGAAATTAGAATTTTGTATAATTTTTAATTTGAGTTTGAATATTTCTTGCTCATAAAATATATTGAGATTCTTGTCACGCCTCGCAATTCGAGTCAAATAATGAAATTTGTTCATGATGTAACAACTTTAATTACCTTGGAATTAAGCGATGTCGAGTTCATCGAATTTAACTAACTGAGGGGCTCAATTCGATTATAAATATGAAATATTTAGAAATTATTCAATTATTGAATTAATATCCCAAAATCATTAACAACACGTTATTTGCTTGATTCGTGCTTAACTCAATTTCGATCCTTTTTTATGCATTGAATTTATTTTAATGAGACACTTAATTTAAGTTTAAATTTGTGGAATTTAAAATTTGAATATTCCTTAAATTATTTTTAGAAGTTTTCATTTCAATTATTACATCAAAGATCATTTTTGATTGGCCTTTTTCTTATGGCTAATCAAGGCTCCTCTTAAATAGCAATAGGAACGAGAAATTTTAAGGGAAAATAACTTTTAAAAGCTTGTTGATTAATTAAAGTGCATGGTGTCAATAAAAGTAGAAAAAAGCTTAATTGTGTGATTATTGGACAATTAGTGGCTTGCAAAAAAGTACTAGTTCTTTAATACACGAGATGGATCTAGAGATGCACCACCCTATACTTTTTGGTTCATTTTGTACTGGACAATGAATGCACCTTTGT